TCACCCAAGGGAAGTTGCAGCTTTTGCACAGATCTTTTAAATGCTGGGATGTGCAGTTTGAGGAAAAAGATACTTTCATGTTGGAAGCTAATTGACAGCAGGATTTCACCTCGTAGGCTTCGACTGGCAGGAGGAGGTGGTGGTTAATGTTAGTCATTGTATTTTTGCCCTAGATAACAGGGAAACTCATTCATCTCTGAAAGACTTTCGGTGATGCTGCTATCCGGTCACGCTGCTGTAAGCAAAAAAAATTAATTTGCTTGCTTTAGTAAAACAGAAGTTCAATTTTACAGCCTATAAAGAAACTCACTGATGTACTTTTAATCCAAGGATGCTGCTCGTGGATTTGCATCTGCAGAGGGGGTCGTTGCAGCAGTAACCGCTGGGTGAGGGGTGAAAGTTGCCTAACACATGCCCTGTATGAGTAATGCTGAAATCATCCCATGAGCTACAGAGTGAATGGACCTTTAGCCTTGATTTTAAATAATATTGCAGATGGCTTGAAAAAAAAAAAAACGGAGGCGATTGGAAAAAGGATTTTACTTGATTTCAATCTTACAGCATTATTCAAATATATCTTAGTAGAGACATTGCCATTGAATAATTCTGTATACCCAGCTGTGCTCACATCACTGGATAAATTATTCCAAGATTAATTTCCATGTTTGAATTCTGCAAATCAATTGAGGCAGACCTTGTTAATCAATAGAGGAAGAGAAGCAAACGGAGCGGGATTACAGTGAATTCCGTCTAACATGAAAATGCTGTTCTGTTCCTCGTGTCCACAAACGTGGCGTAATAAGAAATGGCTCGCTGTTTATGGAGGACGGAGTTGATGATGTGTGTGAACTGCAGAGTGGGTTATCATTGGGGCCACATTACCAGGCGCTCTGCGAATGGGAGCAAGAGGTTTTGTTTTGTGTAATGAACAGGTATTAGACCCAGGCTGTGGCGCTGCTGTATGTCTGTCTTTAAAGATCTAACCCCTCTTCTGCACGTTCCTGAGGGGGAGAGGCGCTTTTGAAGATTGAGAATGTAAAACAGGGCAGGGAGGGGAGGCGAAATGAGAAGTGCCTCATTGAAACTGAATCGGAAAGCAGATTCTGCACTTAGCCTGGTTAGCTTCATTGACACTGGCTGCTTTTTTCACTAATTTCTAGGGCTGCACGATTAATCGTTAGAAAATCGCGATCTCAATTCATACTTATGTGCGATCTCATTTCCAAATGACAAC